GGGCTGAAAGCGGGTGCCGCACTCCCGTCCCTGCCTCCGTGTACCCGCCGTGCAGTTTACTAAGAAGCCTGGAGATCAATAAGAGAGCTGGCCCTGTCATTAGGCCCTAAATTGCAAGTTGCAGGTGGAGAAGCTTCAGAAGGGTTGTGATCACTCAGGAGGAAAGATGACTAATGGGTTTCTTCTGGTCACTTCTTTGGCTTAGGCCTTTGGTTTCTACTCTCTAAGTGTAGCAGTTATCAGATTTCCACGTTAGGAGGTGGCTGGCAATGCATATGTCAGCCTCACTGCATACACTGTGGCTTCTGCCACTTCCCCTCGTCCTTATCGCCCAGTCACATGCCTCCCACCGTCCTTTAAAGTTATGTAGGCAGGTGAAGGAGAGAACGCTCATCTCGCCTCGCCCGTGGCCATCTCCCCCTCCCACTTCCCCTCCACCAGCATCACCTTATGTGTCCGGGAGAACCCCTGTGTTTCACCCTCTGCAGGGGGGTCGATCCCCCTCACCCAATGCAAGTTGGGTAGGTGGTTCCGGTGGGTTTGGGTCTTGCCCTGCTCAGAGCCCTGGAGTTTAGCAACACCACGCCCAGATAGACGAACATTCGGAAGAGCAGAAGTCCCTCTTCCACAGAAGGTCGGAAGCCTACTGTCCAGGGCACAGCAGCAATCTGCTTCCTGTATGATCTCAGGGGCCAGAACATTCTGACTCTGGGAATCCTAAGGCCCCCGAGAGGCACCATCCTCATCCACCCAGGACCAAAGCCAGTTGTTCAAGGGCTGTGGGCTTGACATCCTTGTCAGGGAATAGACCCACATCTGTTTGCACTGACCTGTAACTGCTTTCTGCCAAATGTAGTCCTAGATGCTAGTGCCCCCTTCCCACCCCCAACTCTTCACCCCACATGCCCAGCCCTCACTTTCCCAGCTCTGCAGGCCCCAGGCACACAGGCAAGTCCTGCCAGGCTTTTAAGTCTGCTCAGCACAGCAGGCAGACAGTGAGTGCTGGTGAGTTCTGGTGAGTGCTAGTTCACTAATTAATGATTGTAAAGCACTTTGAAAGCACAAAGAACTAGATAAATGCCAAGTATTATTGTTATTAATGATGAGGAGGCTGTTTAGTCATCCTTTGCCGTGAACTCAGCTCGCTGCCCCCACTGTGGCCGCAGGCTCATCTGTGAACTAGGATGAGAACCCCCGCCTCCTGCAGGCGCTGTTTCACACTGAGTCAGTGACCGAGGTGGAGGGCAGGGGCCAGGAAGCCTCTCCCCGTCTCCCACCTGCTCTCGAAGCACTGCCTGCTTCACGGCTATAACGCGAGCATTTACCGAAAGCTGGGGCCCGAAACTGCCTCTCCACTTCCCATTCACCTGTTTAGCTAGTTCGTTGATGTTTGAGTTCTTGATTGTGTTGATTAAACTCTCCCTGTTTGAATCCAGGACGGAGTGCAAAGGGCAGCCCCCTTTCCACTTAGTGGCTGTACTCACTCCCTTGCACAGCCACTGTCTCTCTCACCCACACACGCGATCATTGTCTCCTTTACTTTGTCTCTAAGGGCTGTGTGTTTTCTAAATGCTTCCATGCACATTGGCACCTTTGGTAGAGTCACGTTGCCTGGGAAAGGCAGACAGTATTTTCCCATTTTACAGATGGGAAACCCGAGGCCCAGGGATGTTAGAAGCCTTGCATAAGGCCCTAGGGCACCTAAAATCTGGTGGCAGGGCCAGGGTTCACCCCAGCAGCCCCGAGCCCTAGGCTGCACGGGGCCCTCCTATTTAGAGACTCAGAGACCTGGCAGGGTGATCAAGGACACGTTAAAGGGGCTTACAGGGCTAAGCCAAGCAAACACGCTGAGGAGCGCCTGGTCTCTGCCCAGCCTCCGGCCTGAAGTCCCAGGCACTGGTGGCATTAAGCAGTGATCCACGTCCATGCCCTGTCTGAGGCCTTAGAATCAGACATCCTCTAGAATGCCAGGCCAGAGAGACCTCAGAATCCATGCATGTTTAACCCCCTCCTTTCACAGGAGACCAAACCACCTCCAGGGAGGTCACATTGCTCTGCCGAGAGGACAGGACCCGTTTAGGAAGGAGGCCCGAGGCGTGCTGTTTGCACGTGCCTGCCACGCCTGCCCCTGGGACGTGCCTGCCTGCAGTGCCCGGTCTCCTCCAGGGCAGTGGCCACCCTGGGGACTTCACGGTCTTTGCACTTTGATTGTGTTTTCCAAATTTTCCTTCTGGAATAACTGCTGGAAGCAGTCAGAAAACAAGTGACTGTTACACTTGTGTAAATGGGGACGTATCTGCCAGCATGGGGAACTGAGCTGCTCCGAACGCTGACTCTGCTATGGAGTCTCCTGGACACTTAACTCTCCTTGCGGAGGCTCACCAGAGGGTCTGGGCACAGCTGGTCATCTCAGCCTCTGCAGCCACTGTAACAAAACACCACAGTGTGGGAGGCTCATCGACAGCAGGAGCTTGCTGCTCACAGCTCTGGACGCTGGAAGTTGGAGACCAGGATTCCAGCACTGGGGAGGGAGGGCCCCCTTGTCCCCCCTCCCATTTACAGACTTCTTGTATCCTCAGGTGGAAGGGGCCAGGGAGCTCCGTGGAGTCTCTTTCATAAGCACTAAACCCGTTCATGAGGCCGCACACTCCTGACCTAAACACCTCCCCATGCCATCCTAATACCATCCCACTGGGCATTAGGGTTTCAAATTAGGAATTTTGGGGGGCACATCAACATTCAGACCACAGCATGATTATCTTCTCCCATTTTAGTTTCTTAAAGGGAGGCATTGCAAACAGACCTACTACTTGGCCCCAGATCCAAGGCTCTGAGGTGGGGCAGTGGGGCCTGGGGTGGCTGGGGGTGGCCGATCTGAACCTACAGCCCCAGGGGCAGCTCTCCTGGCAGGGCTGCTGCTCTGACGTCAGCATCTGCCGCCTCAGAAACCATTTCAAGGGTTCCTGGTGACCAGGAGCTCCAGCTAATACCACACCCCATGCACTCTTTTGACCAAGCTCTGTGGCCTAGCGCTGTGGTCTAAAGCGCTGTGGGATTTCTTTTTTAAGTAGTGAGTTTCTTAAGTAGCTATGTTTTTAAAAATTGCAGCTTCAAAGTACATCGAAGTTCCACTGTGCAGCAGGCGTGCAGCCCGGCCTGGAGCAGGGCTAGGCGGCCGGGCCAGGAGGCAGGCAGCCGGGCCAGGCCGGGCTCTGCCTTTCTTGGCCCTTCACAGTTCAGAACAGCCCCCTGAGCCACTGCTATCGCTGCCCGCACAGTGGGGCTGCAGCCCTGCTCACAGAGGTGGGTGGGGGGCCACTGCCAGCAGGTCTGAGCCCTTCAGTTGCTTTTGAGCAGATGCCTTACCCCTAAGAATTCTGGTGTCCGGGGAAGCCAAGGAGAGGACGTCCAGGGGAGAATGCCACTAGCAGGGCTGACCCAGTGGGAGGCAGCAGGCCCAGGGTCCAGGAGAAAGGACGGCCAGCATGTCCCAGGGAAACCAACACCCCCTGTGAGGTTTTCTGGCATGATGACAACAGCATAATTCACAGGGCCAAGTGGGGACAGAAAATTAGCTTCTCAAAGCTGGAGCCATCACGCATCCCAGCCGCCCCCTCTTCCTCTCGCGGCAGAGCCCACAGGGACTGAGCACTTGCAGTGTGTCGGGCGTGTTGTACAGGGTCTCACTGAACCCTCCCAGGAGCCGAGCACCTCGCTTTTACGGACGAGGCAGCGCAGGCACGGAGAGGTGAGGAGGTGTGCCCAAGGGCACGGGCCGCTGTTTGGTAGAGCTGGGATTTTCTCATCTGGTCGCCAAAGCCCATCCTCTCCAACTTCCTGATACACTAGATCTTTGAACAACTCAGCTGACTGTCCCCCAACCCTCGTACAGGTGAAAGGCCACACACAAGTTTTGGCATCCCAAAACCTTAACTAGCAATAGCTGCTGTTGACCTGAAGCCTTGCTGACAACATAAGCAGTTGATGAACACATATTTTGTATGTGACATCTATTAGATACTGTGTTCTTTCAAAAAGGTAAGCTGGAGAAAAGAAAAAAATTATTTTTTCAAATATTTGCAGATCTTCAAAAAATTTTCAATGTATTTATTGAAAAAAGATCAGTAAGTGAACCCACATAGTTCAAACCCATGTTTCTCAAGGGTCTGCCATAGACATCAGAATCCCATCAAATTCCATCAAAACCTCTAATCACATCAGCCCTCTCAGGGCTGAATGCAAGTGGAAAATATTCCAAGATGGCTTGTAATCCTGAAAGAATTGTCCCGGAGTTGTTGGGAAGGCCATGAGCTCAGGGAGGCCGGTAAGGGCACTTGCCTGCACAGCAAGCCTTCCCCCAACGATCTCAGAGCCCCTCTGACCCTCATGCCCCTGTGCGGGGGAAGTTGTGGTGGCCTCATGCTCGCAGACGGGACGGAGAGGCCCCTGGTGCTGGTAAATGAGTTTTTTCAGGCAGATTCCCCCCACCCCCAAGACCTGGAACTGGGTCCTGGGCAATTCTGCCCCTGAAGTGGGAACAGCAGAGAGTGACGCCAGGCTCAGGGGGTGGCAGTCAGGCCCTCGTGTCCCGGCCACCTTGCCCTCCCCATTGCACCTGTTCCCCAGGACACACGGACCGTGGCCGCCAGCAGGGGGAGGGGGTTCAGAAGAGACTCAAGACACAAGTGGGGTGGGGGCAGGGAGGGGTGGATGAGAACGAGAATGGAAAGCAGTTAGGGAGCACATGAGGGGGTTAGAGGCTCTCTCTGGCTTCCTGTAAGCACAGCCCTGCCGGCCACATGTGAGGGAGACCGAATGTCACCCAAAGCGCTGAGATCACCGCCCACAGGAGGTGGGCCTTGTACTGAAAGGTCAGAATAATCCCTTCTCTAGCGCAGCAGAACTCTGAATGCTATTTTTAGAAACTCCTAGAACTTGCTGCCTATTTTTAGAGACTCCGAGAACTTGCCGCTTTAGTGTGCCAGGAGAAGAGCCCAAGAATGGCTGCCCCTCTGCAGTTCAGGGCCGCACCTCCGTGCTCCGCGGCCGATGGGCTGGCTTCTGAGAAGCGGATGCAGGACAGGGGTTGGTAAAGTGGATCAGACCTTGAACACACTGGGACTTCTAAGGGGTAAAGGACTTGGGTGGAGAATCCAGGCAGCAGGCAGCTGCCCACCTGTGCTGCTGCAGGTCAGCCTAGTGGTTAGGAGTGTGGGCTCTGAGATCCTGCAGAGCAGAGTTCCAATTTCAGCCCACCTCCCCCGTAGCCACGTCACCTCCCGCCATAACCGGCAAGTGGCTTGGCCTCTTTGGGGCCCCGTTTCCTCATTTGTTAATTAGGGCCACTCATTCCCTCCTTGCTGGGGTGGTGGTTAGAGTTACCTGTGGCAATATGAGTTCCTAACGAGCAGTCAGTGAACAGCATCTGTTATTATATTTTACATACTGGTTTTTCTTTACTAAAGAGACATCTCCAGATGATTGGAGCTCTCAAACATCCCACTCCTCCAGGCTGGTTTGGCCTGTCCTCTAAACACAAGTCTGAAACACGACTTTGTCTCCTTGGCCTAGAAGACCTTTGTTTTCTTTTCTAATACTTGCTACATATTTTTCAGTCTGATACATTTTATTCTTAACTGTTCCTTAATTTACTTGGAAGGCTTTACATCTTCGATGAAATCAGTTTACCATCTATAGTTCCTCTAATTCAACAACGAGTAAATACTGATGGCCCACACCTATATCCAGGCATGATGCTGGGCACTAGGGTCACAAACAGCAACCGAGACAGAGCGCAGTGCGGTCTGTGAGGCACTCGCCCTGCGCCCCTGGAGGGAAACGAGCAAACAGTAGTGCAGTGACGTTCAGGGCTGCCGAGGGCATTGTCTGTGCCCCTCCGGTGGGCATGGAGGCCAGCTATGGAGGAAGGTGAAAATCATAAGGAGATGGTACTGGAGAAGCAGACAGGGAGAAAGCCTATTTTCTCTGAAGAGGAAACTACGAGAAGGTCCTAAGCAACAGAGTACCAAAATTTGCAATTTAGGAAGCAGATCTGCGTTTTAGGAAGGTGACTACAGTGAAGATGATGAAAGACCTTTGCTTTTTATTTCCCTCAGGGAGAGCGCGCATCCAGAGGGCAGCTGATGTGGCCTCCGGGCTGGCCCCAGTCACTGGCACCACTTCTCTCGTGCCTCCAGAGAACTGCATGATTTTCCTGAGCGTAGAGGGTCTGAAGCCATGGCTGTGCCTTTTCAGTGTCCTCTTGAGAATCTGATAAAAGTCATATCCTCTCCGTCTCAAAAAACGCCCGTGTGCGCAAAGGTTATGCAGTCAGCTCCCACCATCTGCAGTAGCTGCGTCCCAGAGGGTCTCCCCAGCGCTGAATTCTCCAGGATTCTGGCTTAGCACCATTGCCCATGGGGAAAACGCAGTCAGGTTCCTGCGAGCTCTGGCCACAACATTTTCATCAGCTGATCAATACGTACCTTTGTTTGGTGAGTGTTTCTGTGTAAAGACATCTTATTTAATATGTATCTTGTCGATTCATTAACACTGAGCTCCGTGCACAGCACTATAATTCCTGCCTGAATGAAGCTTGGCTAACGGGTACTTCCTGTGTCAGACACAGGACAGCTTCCTTGCCCTGAGGACACTAGGTAGCTGGTCAGGACAACACTCAGGGCCATTTTTAAACAGTGAAACCTTAACAAAAAGCCCAAAGAGGCAAATAACACTGAATTAAATAGTCTGCAAAAAGTCACTTGTTCATAGTATGAGAGCCGAAGCAGGACGACCACACTGCCTCCTTCCGCCTCAACTGGGGACATGCGGATCAGCTGAGCCCTGCATGTACGCATGTCTGCAAAGGACTCCTGCAAGGCCAAATTGGGGATGACAAGTACATTTTAGCAAGTGGATGGATTTACAGATATGGAATCTGCAGATAATGAGGGCTGACTCTATATAGTTTGCAGGCATTCAAAGCCCACGGAGGCCAATCCTATGGGAATTGGGGCAAAGAGAGATGTATTTTTGTGGCCCCTGTAGGAACCTGTCTAAAAAAGAAACAAGGAAAATGTCTTTCTGCAAAGGTGTGGGTCTCCTCTAGCAAGGATGCCATTTTTTCTTCCATGCTATTTTCTACCTTTGGACTTTGCTCAAGGTTAAAACCTAGGCATTTGGGAAAAAATGAGCTTATTATTATAAAAACTAACCATATTTGATGTTTTGTTACATTTACTACTATTGGCCTTAGCAGTAAAATGTTCATCTTCAAACTTTCTCAAATTTGATTACAGCTATGTAAAAAAATATGTGCATGTAGAAAGATAGCAAGGAGAAGTGGAAAAGTGAAAACAGTTGTTGGGGTGGCAGATGTGAAAACATTTTTTCCTTCATAATGTGCTCTTCACTGTTAACGTTATGCAGTCTCAGACACAAATAAGCTTAAGAAAAAACTTCAATTAAAGCAATATGTCTGCAAGTAGAAAAATGACCAACGAAAATATATTTAAACATAGTGGACTTAATTATCTTCCATCATTTCTCCTTTGAAATGTGCCCACAGTAGCAAGAAAAGGTCGAGCACTCCATGTTACCCAGCATTTCTGTTCGGCAGGATTCTCTGAGAACTATGTTATTCCTCCGCAGGACGGATTTTAATATGCTAAGCCCTCTAGTGGCTCCCATTCCTGCAGACACCTGATGCTAAGACAGAAAGTAGAAAACCACAGACCCAAGACAGAAACGGCACAGGTAACTAGCCCATCATCAGGTGTCCCTGGGGAAACAGAACCTTGACAATATGTGATTTTGTGAAAACTACCAAGGAGAAGGTCCAGAGTGAGATCACCAGCAGGGGTGCAGAAAAAGTGGCCTGTGAGAAGGTGGATTGGACACAGTACAACCTGCAGCTTCTAAGCACCAAATCTGATGCAGTTCATGGGCCCACATGCCTTAGTAAGATTCCCCCTAAAGGCCAAAGCGACCAGCCAACCCGGGTTTTACCGAGCACATTCTTCATGCCAGGCCGCACTACATGTAGGTACCAACAAAAATCAGACAATCTCTGGCCTGAAATCACAGTCCACTGGGGAGACAGCATCAGTCACCGGGGAAGCCGTGCCCTTGATGGGCACACACCGCCCGGACCATAGCCTTGCCTCTCAGGCCCTGCCTTCAGGGACTCAGGTTCTCGTGGGAGACAAGACCACTTCAGACAGAGGTGAAGTGCCGTGGAGACAAACGGCAGTGATGAGGAGTGTGTGGCCTCTTTGGTGAGACAGCATTTGAGCCCTGGGCGGCCATAAGCCGGCTGCAGCAGTATCTGGTGGAGGTGGGGGAGATTTCCCCTGGCAGGAGATCTATGCTGCATGCGGCAGGTCAGGAGACCAGTCTGGGGCGAGAGAGACACCTGTAAGGATAGAACCCTAGAGCAGGTGGAGGAGATGAAGCAAGGCTGGGCTTTGTTCTGTAGCTCAGGGATGCTCCCTGTCTCTGTTCCACAGCAGACATTGCCAATCTAACCCCGCACTCTCTCCCTCCAGGCCCAGGGGCAGCCTCTCAAGCAGACATTACCAATCAACTGGAATTGATGTGTAAGTTAAAAAGACAGTTTACCACCTGTACTATAAACAATAGGAAGCTGTTTAAATGTTTTTAGGTGGAGACTATCAAAATAAAAGGATTGTTTTAAGAAAGTTTGATCTACCCATGGTATGCAAGATAACTTGGCAGGAACTGAAATGGGTTTTCCTGAGGTTTCATAGAAGAGAATTTAATTGTGAACATTTATTTAGCACACATTATGTCCTAGCACTTAACAGCTTCATTCACTTTCATCAACCTCAAATGGTAGGTAAAGAAGCCGAAGCTCAAAGAAAGTAAATCATTTGCCCAAGAAACCAAGATTTGAACCAAGTCATTCAATTTCAAAGCCTTGCACATTTCACTATGGGACACTGATATTCTAAGTGTAAGTCAACAGGAATTTGGATGGGAAGATTAGACAGATGTGAGAAAACACAAAGGAAAAATTAGTGGGCGTTGATGACTAATGGATATTAGGACGGCGAGGGCAGGGTCAAAGATACCGACCACAACATAAGAATGTCTTGGTTGCACAGAAAAAGCTCTAGGATGGTGCACATCAGACTGCTGACAGCGTTGCTTCTGGGGAGTGGGAGGGAACACGGGGGTCAGAGCACATTTTTACTTGCAACTTCACAAGTGTCTGCATTTTTGCTTTTTGCCGTAGCACATAATTCTATGAATGAAACATTAAATTATTTAAAAATAATTCAGAGTTTCTTTTGGTCACTGAGAGATGCCACTGGCACTCCAGCTCTGTGAAAGTGCAAGGATTCAGTACATACTAAGTTTTGGGGTAAAGATAACCCATATGACTGAGGCGTGTTAGGCGAGGCCCTGGTGGGAAAGCCATGTGGCAGCCGCCCACAGTGGGTTAGCTCCTATTCAGGACTGAGGCAGAATTACAGTTCTGAGCTCTGACTCCATCTGAGATGCAGCCAGTCCAGGTCACCCTGTGTGCCCTTGACTGTCCCCACAAGACAGGCCCCTCAAGCCAAGAGCCCCAGGGACCCTGGCAAAACTCCAACGCCAGTTTGGCCCAGTGCATGGGACCAGGGCGTGCTGACACCACTTGGGACATACTGTTCTTCATTTGCTCACAGTTCCTGAGACGGGTTCCAGCAAGGGTCTTGGGGAGGGGAGGAGAGGACTACCTGGGGCACCCCTGGCCCTGGCCGAGGGCTCACCCTCCAGCCAGGAGAGCCTCTTCCACACTGCTGGCCTCTCTGTGCCCCATGCAGCACCACCCCACGTCTGTTTACCTCAGAGCAATGGGACTGTGAGCAATGGCTAATAAAAGGAGCTGTTTGACAAGAGGCAGTTGATACAGTCACAGTCATAACAAGAACAATAATAATACTATGTCCAGGAAAAACAATAGTTTACTGAAAATTTGAGAGTAGATTCCTGAGGCGGGAATCAGATGCCCCCATAATTATCTTAGTCAAGATGCTTTTTAATAGAAGGTAATAACCAGAAATGAAACCAACAGCATAATGCGTGCCGTGTCATAAAAAATAATTGCCGGTTCGGCCAGGCGCCCCGGAGCAAGCCTTCTGCTGCCCTCCCTGGTGGCCAGCTGTGGGCTTCATCTTCCACGTTTGCTTAGGAGCAACCTGTCCTTAGTATGCAGGCTTTCAGACACGTATGTCCTTAGTATGCAGGGAGAGTCCGTTAAGGCAGAACGTCGGGCCCAGCTTCCCAGCAGGGGGGAGAGCTCTGACATACAGCAGTGGGCCGTTTCCTCTATGGGAGCGGAATGAGCTGGAAGGTGGGCATGAGCACATGTCCCTCCTGGCTGTTTGCCGTGCGTGCAGGCCCCCTGCAGCCTGGCCTGGAGTGGGTACCGGCTACACGGCCTGGGGGGGCTATGCGGGAACCCAGCACTGTCAGACCGGCCGTCACCCTTGAGCGCTGGAGAAGTCAACCACATGGCATTTCCCAGCCCCGAAGCCTAGAAATGCAGAATGTTTTAAGAGATCCGCCTGAAAACAGCTACCTAAACACACGAGAGCGGCCAGAAGGTGCCCACGGCCCGAGCAGCACCGGGGAGCAAATGCGTCATGCCTGCCAGGCCTGAACTGTGTGTCCTCATGACAGTTTCTGGGCTGACATTTGACCTGACGTCTCTCTGACCCCATGACTAATGCCTTGTGACCCTGGAACTCTACTTTCATGATAAAAGGCATAATTTTAAAGCATCACCTCACACTTGTGGCCTTTGACAGGAAAATCCTCCCAGGCCGCGGAAGGCAGAGCTCATGGCTGTGGGTGTGATGCGGCCCCTCCCCGTGTCTGGAGCCTGGCCGAACCTGTGACGTGAGGAGAAGATCCCGGTTCTGTGTGTGTCGCCCCTGCCCTGCGTTACTCAGAGGCCCAAAGCTGATTCACAGTGATGCAGAGAATGGGGGAGCTCGGTTACACAGCTCTTTGTCACATTTAGTCACTTAGAATCCTCCTTCATCCTCTGGGTTGTTTGAGGATGTAGCATTCATGAAAGCTGGAGGGGAGACACACCTTGGCAACCCCCACCTGGTCCCTGGAGGCAGGGTCCTGGGCACCTTGGCCACTGGTCGCCTGGCTTCTCCTGCAGGCGCTGAGCGGTTGCCCCCGAGTGGGTAGTACATGCCTTTCCTGCTGCGGCTGAGACTCCCCCTGGGCAGTCCGTGGCTCCCCTGCCCCTTGGCAAGCCTGGTGAGCCCCCAGGAGAGGGATCATGTTCAAGGGAGCCCAGAAGTCAGAATGCCTCCCTGTAGTTCTGGCAGAGCCCGTGCCCTCGCCCTGCCTCACGTCCTCTGCCTCGCTGGGTTCTGCCCGGGCCTGTTACTTCTTCCCAGACGGCCCTGTGTCTCCACAGCATGGCTTAGATAGCACAGCCTCAGCCTGTGAGCCGGTAAAGAGCTCTACCCCTTTCCTTTCTCCTCTGCCCCGACTTGCCTTTCTTTGCTGACCCTTCTCTACCAGAAGCATTATTCTGCTCAGCTGGCACCAGGAGAGGCAGGCATTGGGCATTTTCCTGTGCTTTGCTTCCCAAGACTAACTTCCTGGGGTCAGTGCCTGCAGGGGCCTCCTCCTGGAGCTGGCCTGCAGTGTCCCCGGCGGAGGGCACGGGCAGCAGCTTCCCAGAGGGGCTGGGCCTGCACTGTGCCCTCTGGCAGCCTCTAGCCCCACTTGCAAGGTGGCTGGTTCCGAGAGAGGTGCTGTAAGTGTAAAATGGACACCCGCTTTCTAGGCCTAAAACAGCCTCAAATATCTAATTTTTATATTGATTAATGTGGAAATTATGTTTTGGATCTATTAGGTTGAATGAAATATTAAAATCACTTCACCTGTTTCTTTTTTATTTTTTAAGGTGATTAGTAGAAAAATGAAAATTGCACGTGTGGCTTGCGTTCTGTTTCTGTTGGAATGCAGTGACCTGGGGTGAGGCGACTGCCGTGACTCCACGCAGCTTCCGGGACCACGGTGCCACCTTAGCCTCTCTGAGAAAGCTCCAGAACGCAGCCGTAAGGCCAAGCCCTCCAGTGGTGGTTTCCACCCACACAGGGAAGACAGGGTTAGGGTGGAAAAGTCCCTTCTAACTGCTTGATGTACAAGTCCCTGCGGCCCATGTTCTCTGAGGCTTTCGCTGCTAGCGGTGTGGCGGCCCCCCAGAAACATGTTTTTTACTGTGGCTGTTACCAGGCCTGTTATTAATAATAGTCACGGTGATCATCTGGGGAGCCAGAGAGGCAAAAATAGTCCCGGAGAGTGAGAGGTGCACCTGTTATCAGGGCGCTGGAGTGTGTGCTCGGAAAATTAGCTCTTCTAGGAACCAAATGGTTCTTTGAAGTCTTGAAAGAGTTAATGGGGACGGGACGTGCTGCCAGGCGCTGCTGCCCTCAGCTCCAGGTGGGTGCGCACAGGCACTGACCTGCGGATACAAAAAGGGCTGTCAACGTGTCTGTACAACCCCACTTCTTGGGTGCATCAGCAGCAGTTCCAGCAGTGTTACCCCTTCTAATGCAGAAGTGGTGGCAAGCCCACCCCTGTGGTTCAGGATTCGGTGGCTATTCCTGGGAAGGGTCAGGCAGGAGTTCCAGGAGGGGGCTCCTCTCCTGCGACCGACCCCACTGGCAGGGGGTCTGCGGACTCCCCCTCCAACCACATCCGCCTCGCTGACTCCGCGTGTCTGCCTTGCCTTGCAGAGAGACTCTGCGGGTCCAGAGTCCCCCCACTGCACGCACGGGCAGCCCAGCCGACAGGCCATTCACCCACTCCACAGACACGGGCAGACTTTGGAGATTCGCCAGACTTTGGAGATTCACAGACGCCACTCCTACCCGCTGGAAGCGACTATCTGATGAGGAAATAAATACACAACTGATTGTTTTCTTGTCAACTGCTGCGAAGAAGACGAATGGGGGCTGCAGAAGCGTAACTGCGGTGTCCACCTGGAGGGGGCGCTGCTCGCTGGGAGCCAGTCTTCTCGCCCCCGGAGGACGCACGTGCTGCTGGCCTGCGGGCGCTCCAGGTCGCTGGCCGGGATTACTGCTGACACAGTACCAGGCGCGCGTGGACACCTCCAGGCCGTGGACTCGGGGGTTTTCCACTTTGGCCCGGTGGGTGAGGACCCCTGAGTGCCCGGAGGAGCGGCGGGAGCCAGGCGGGCTGCGGGCCCGGCCTTCAGGGGCAGCGTCCTTCCTGCGAGGTCGGCCCGGCACTGGACAGGTGCTCCTACCCAGGGAGCCCTTGGATGGAGGTGCAACACGTTCAAGAAGATACTTTCCATTTCCCAGCAAGACAGAAAGGGACGTGATGGCCTCTCCCTGGCATGGCTCAGACGCCACACGGAAGGTGTCCTGGCCGGAAGCGTGTCCCTTGGCAGGGGCTACGGGGCGTGATGCCTGTCCAAGTCATGGTGTCCCGCCCTCCGGTGGTCACCAGGGAGCGCGTGGAGCAGGAACCGACTGACACCGCCACCCAGCCACACACAGCATGTGTCATGCAAATCCACGGGAGTTTCTGTGGAACCAGAAGGAGTGAGTGTCTTACTGGCGCGGTGCTGCGTGAGTTAAAGTGATGAAACCCCAACTTGCATTTTCTTCTTGCTGAACTCAGGCCGCAGCAGGTTGTGCAGAGGCCCTTAGGGCACCTTCAGGCCCACGTCATCGGGACTTCCCGTGTCTCACCCCAGTCTCCCAAGCCCGGTCTGGAGTGAGACACAGGAATCTGCAGGCTGCCGAGGAGCCCCGGGTTCCGGGGCGAGCCCCCCGCGCCAGGGAGCCACTGCAGAGGGCAGGCAGCCCACCCCCTCCCCCGGGGCTTCCCCAATCCCTGCCCTTCCTTCTCCACGTCGGTGGTGTCTCCCCATGTGCCCTGGAGGTGGCGCTTTGCGTTCCCGGTTCCCCGAAGCTTGTCTGCCTCCCGAACCCCTCCTCTGGCCGTCTCCCCGAACCCCCCGGGGCTGTCAGCGCTGCTGCAGGTTGGAGGGCCGCTCTAGGGCACCTCACCCCCGGCAGGGACGGAGCCGGGGAGGCCGCACGGGCCGTGGTGGGAGAGGCGGACTACACCGGGGCAGGATGGATGCCGGGGTGGGTTAAAAACCAGAACTCCTCTGGTCTTTAGATTTACTAAATAGGAAACAGTGCGTTTTTACTGTAGAAAAGGTGGACTTAAAAGACCAAAAAAGGAATAAGGAGGAAACAAAAGCCCGCCACTAATTCAGAAATCTACAATAGACACAATAATTAGCATATGAATAAACTTCCTTTTCATGTATTTGTGGCCACTATATTCTGCCTTACCAGTTGCAGTTACAAAATGATCACAATTCTTTATACATTAGAATTAATAAGAATTGAACCTGCATCCAGCGCATGAATCTGCTTTTCCTTCCTGCCTGTGAGCCATCAATTCCTGTGATGATCTTAAGGCCCAGGAGCCCCACTCGGCCCAGATGCTGGACCCGACAGGTGTACTCTGGCCCTGCTGCTGGGTGCAGAGCTGTCCTGCTGGGCCCTTGATTTTAAAGGGTGGCCCCTCTCGCCCTCCGGGTGGGCTGGAGGGTTCCAGAAGGGTGCTGGGAAGCCCGTTGCTCTGCACCGTGGTGTAGTGAAGGTGCCAGGGACACAGCGCCCTCTGAGCTCACATGTGTGCCCCCTCCCCACACAGACGCACAGGCTCACACACACTCACACACAGACACACACAAACACACACCATTGCTCCCCCCTGATTTGATACCCGGCTGCAGGTTCTACGCAGACCCGCTTGCCCCCAAACAAGGCTGACCCAGGTCTGGGTCACCGACTCAGATGCTTCCTCACTCACAGCAAGTTCTCCCGGCCAGGGGTGGGTGGGTGGGTGGCAGAGTTCTAGAACCCTTTCTACCGGCTGACCTCAGTCGGGTCTCCCTCAGACCATGAGAAGGGTTCTCACAGGATTGGACCTCCAAGAAAAACAGCCAAGAACTCAAGCTCTTTCCTCTCTGGCTGCTCTGAGCACGTGTCCAGTCCTGCTTCAGGGACATCTAAAAACATAGGGAGAGGGACACATTTACCAAACCAAAAAAACAAAAACAAGCCCTGCTTTCCTGTTTCACAGGAAGGACCACAGCCAGAGAGCCCCCTCCTCGGGCAGCTGGCACCTTGGGGCGGCATCTCACCTTAACTAAGAGGTATTTTGAAACGGTGTGGATTTTAACTATCTTTTTTTTTTTGTTATCATTAATCTACAATTACATGCAGAACATTATGTTTACTAGGCTCCCCCC